ATATTAAGCGATAAGATTTAAATCTCTCTTCTTTACTTTTAATTAATATCTTTTATAAATCTTTTTAATATAATTAATAACTTCGATATCGCGATTATTAATTAAGATTTTCTTAATCTCTATTATAAGTAATATAAGTTTCGCTAAATCGAATAATCTAATATACTTAATATTTATAATCTAAGTAAATTTATTAAAAATAATATAATATTAATTAATAATCTTCTATAATTTAATCGATATTTCGTTAAAAGCGAATATATAATAGAAGAAAGCGCTTTATATTAAGAGAAGAGTCTATTAAATATAAATAAGATTATTTTTAAATAATATTATTTTAAAATAATAAAAAATTTTAATTTAAGACTAGATTAGTATATAATTTAAGATAAATAAATTATTTAAAATATCGTAGTAGTAAGAGTTAATATAAACTTATTTAAATAAAGTTATTAATATAAGCGTAGTAGTCGTCTTACGCTTTTTAGATATTATTTAAATATATATATATTAATCGAGATCTATATAGAGTAGAAGATAATAAGTAAAGATATTAAGATTATTTTAATTTTAGATATATATTTCTTAATTACGCGTTTCTTAAATTCGCGTTTCTCTACTTTATAATTACTAATAATTATTTATTTTAACTTAAAATTAAATCTCTATATCTCGCGACTATTATTAAATTAAGTAATTTTAGAATTTAATATTATTTAGTTAATTATCTCGCTTAATAGAATAAAGTTTTTATTATTTAAATCTTTATTATTATTATAGAGCTTCTAATTAAAAGCTTTATCTTTTTATTAGATTTAGAATTTTTAATAATAAGAAATATATTAATATTATTATTAATAGCTAGCTTTAACTCTTTAATAGTCTTTTTAATCTCTATCTTTACTTTCTTTATATCTATTTTTACTTTCTTTAGATTTATAATAATATTTTAAATAAATATTAGAATATAATTAGTCTTATACTCGATATCTTAATTAAATAATCTCTTCTTATTAATATAATTATAAATAGCTTATAGAGCTTAAATTATATTAATTTAAATTAAATTAATAATAAGTATAAATTTATATAATTAAAATCTATAGCTAAATTATTATAATTAGAGCTATAATTAAAAGCTATAATACTCGAGATTTATAAAGAAATAGCGTATAAGAAAATTTATTAATATATATAAATAAAAAAATCTATTAATATATATAAATAAAAAAATTAAAAGTAAAGATAATTATTATAAAGTAGTCGAAGTTAAAGAATATTATATCGCTAAGATTATTAAGCTTCTAGCGTAGACGTTAGCTTTTCTAATAATTAAGATTAATAAATAAATCTTAATAAATTAAAATTTATTTTTATTATAATTTTTAATTAAGATAATAAAGTTAATAAATACGAAGAGAAAGTAATTAATAGAGTTTAGCGATAAAATAATAATAAAGAGTTAAAAGTAATATACTATAAGAATAATTAGTAAATAATAGATAAATCGAGAAAGAATTAAAAGATAGAAAGAGATTTAAATATAATATTACGCTTTTAGTTAAAATATAAAAGCGTTACGCGTAAAATAATAGATTTATCTTTATATATATAATAAACTAATTCTCGAATATAAGCTATTTATATATATAAGATTCTATATAAATTCGCTATAATAGAATATATTAAAGAGTCTATTAAATATAAATTAATTAAGAATTTAAAAGTATATATTACTAATATTAAGATTATTAGATTATTAAATCTTATTTAATTAAGATTATTATTTTCGCTTATAATAGTATAATCTTTATTCTCTTATTTTCTAATTTAATCTAATACTCTTATTCTTATTTACTTTATTTATTTATTATCTTACTCTTAATAATATTGCTTACTTTAAGAAATACTCGATTTAAAGATTATAGAATTAATAATTTAAAGAGAGTAAAAAGTTTCTCGAGAGTTATATTCTCTAGATTCATTATATTAGCCTTTATAAAAGAGATTTAAAATACTATATCGCGCTTTAATATCTCTATAATATACGTATTAAATATTATAAAAAAAATCTTTATATTCTTAATTACTACTAATTAGCGAGTAATTAAATTTATATAAACTTTTTAGCTATAAATTTTTAAATAGCTAAAGAAGTATTAATATAGAATTTAAATAGTTATTTAAGTTTTTTATATTTATAAGAAGAGAGAATCTAGAGAAAGAAAGAAGAAGATTATATATTTAAAGGCTTACGAAAATTCTCTTAATATATCTTTAGTATACTTTTTCTCTATTACTCTCTTATATTTTATAATTTAATTAGAATATTTAGATATATAGCTAAAAAGAGAATAAATAATATATTAAGAGATAAGATTCGAGCCTCTCTTCTTTACTCTTAATTAATATTCTTTATAAATCTTCTTAATATAGTTAATAACTTCGATATCGCGATTATTAATTAAGACTTTCTTAATCTCTATTATAAGTAATATAAATTTTATTAAATTAAATTATTTAAATAATTTAATATTAATAATCTAAGTAAATTTATTAAAAATAATATAATATTAATTAATAACCTTTTATAATTTAATCGATATTTTATTAAAAGCGAATATATAATAGAAGAAAGCGCTCTATATTAAGAGAAGGGTTTACTAAATACGAATAAGATTATTTTTAAATAATATTATTTTAAAATAATAAAGAATCTTAATTTAAATCTAAATTAGTGTAGAATCTTAAATAAATAAATTATTTAGAATATCGTAATAATAAAAGCTAATATAAACTTATTTAAATAGAATTATTAATATAAATATAATAATTAACTTACGCTTTTTAGATATTATTTAAATATATATATATTAGCCGAGATCTATATAGAGTAGAAGATAATAAATAGAGATATCGAAATTATTTTAATATTAGATATAAGTTTTTTAAATATATATTTCTTAATTATCTAGCTTAATAGAAGAAAGTTTTTATCGCTTTTATTATTACTATAGAACTTCTAATTAAAAGTCTTATCTTTATTACTATAAAGCTTCTAACTAAGAGCTCTATCTTTATTATTACTATAGAACTTCTAATTAAAAATCTTATATTTATTATTATTATAAGACTTCTAACTAAAAATCTTATTTTTTTTATTAAATTTAAAGTTCTTAATAATAGAAGAATATTAATATTATTATTAATAGCTAACTTCGACTCTTTAATAGCCTTCTTAGCCTCTATCTTTACTTTCTTTAAATTTATAATAATCTTTTTAATAAATATTAGAATATAATTAATTCTATACTCGATATCTTAATTAGATAATTTCTTCTTATTAATATAGTTATAAATAGCTTATAAAGTTTAAATTATATTAATTCGAGCTAGATTAATAATAGATATAAACTTATATAATTAAGATCTATAGCTAAATTATCGATTAAAAAATTATTATAATTAAAATTATAATTAGAAATTATAATAATCGAGATTTATATCGAAGTAGCGATATATATAAATAAAAAATTAGTTATTATAAAGTAATCGAGGTTGAAAAATATCGTATTATCGAGATTATTAAGCTTCTAGCGTAGGCGCTAGCTTTTCTAATAATCGAGATTAGAAAATAAATCTTAATAAATTAAAATCTAATTTTATTATAATTTAAAGAGAAGAGATTATTATAATTAAAAGAGATAGAAAATTATAAGACTATAATAGAAGAGAGCTTAAAGAAGAATAATAATTATAATTATATTATATATAGCTTTAACGCGAAAAGCCTTACGCTTTAACTAGCTCGCTCGAGTAAGATTAATTATTATTATTTTTATTATCGCGTTTTAACGCTTATTCTTTTCTTTCTAATAGATCTATTATAATAAACTTATTATAATAGACTTATTATAATAGACTTATTATAATATACTTACTAGAATATACTTATTATAATAGACTTACTAGAATATACTTACTAGAATATACTTATTACTTATCTCTACTTATAAAATTAATATTAAAATTCGCTTAATTTTTATTATATTATATATTACAAGTAAAGGCCCATGAATTAAATTCATAGAGTTGGATTTTTCATTTTTCTAAGTCAAATGGAGTTGGATTTTTCTAAGTCAAATCAAATTTTAGCCCTAGCCCTAAGTCAAATCGGACTCTGATCGCTTGCTGTGCGTTTTTGACCTACTTCCACCACTACAAAATTGATTTAATCTATGTAGTATAGGCACATATGTGCGGAGAGAAGGCGCGCTAAGGCCTAATTAGGAAGGTATATCGAGTGTGAAGGATTGATCCGTAACAATTACCTATAAAAAACAGAGAAAGGCCATGTCCTCATGGCAAGAAGTATCGAAATACCGGAAAGAAACGGAGATAACGTGCCAATTAGTGGTGTGAATCCCACAATATCTCCTGCCGCAGTGAAATCTTTCGAATAATGAAATAGCTGTAGACATCGGACGGTTTCAATTCGTTCAAATATGCATCGTCCGATGTCCCTCCTGCAGAGGCTTAATTGACTGTGATCGTCGCAGTAGATCCTCCTCTTGTAACGTTATTGCAGTGATGTACCATATTAATGCAGTGGGGATGATAGGCCAAGTTGCAGTGGTGTTCTCCGCTTGCTGAGTGATGATTTGACGTGGGATCTTGGAGAGCTGAGCCGTGTTCTTGACGATGGTGGCCTTGTTGCCGCTTGGTTTCTCCGCAGTGTTCTCCGTAGTGTTCTCCGCAGTGTTCTCCGCATTTGCCTGTTGTAGTTCCTCCTCTTGCTCCTCCTCTTGTAGAGTATCAGACTGAGTGGCTAGCTGAGTGGCTGACTGAGTGGATGACTGATATGACGTGGGATCTTGGAGAGCTGAGCCGTGTTCTTGACGATGGTGGCCTTGTTGCCGCTTGGTTTCTCCGCAGTGTTCTCCATAGTGTTCTCCGCAGTGTTCTCCGCATTTGCCTGTTGTAGTTCCTCCTCTTACTCCTTAATGCAGTGGGGATAATAGGCTAAGTTGCAGTGGTGTTCTCCGTGGGATCTTGGAGAGCTGAGCCGTGTTCTTGGTGCTGGGGGCCCTGTTGCCGCTTGGTTTCTCCGCAGTATTCTCCGCATTCGCCTGCTGTATTGACTTCTCTTGCACTGGCTGAGTGGATTGGTGTGAGACCGTGGAGAGTAGGCCTGTTGTGTCACTGCTGCTGATGACTGTCTCCGCAATGTTCTCCGCAGTGTTCTCCGCATTCGCCTGCTGTATTGACTTCTCTTGCACTGGCTGAGTGGATTGGTGTGAGACCGTGGAGAGTAGGCCTGTTGTGTCACTGCTGCTGATGACTATCTCCGCAATGTTCTCCGCAGTGTTCTCCGCATTCGCCTGCTGTATTGACTTCTCTTGCACTGGCTGAGTGGATTGGTGTGAGATCGTGGAGAGTAGGCCTGTTGTGTCACTGCTGCTGATGACTGTCTCCGCAATGTTCTCCGCAGTGTTCTCCGCATTCGCCTGTTGTAGATCCTCCTCTTATTCAACTGAGTGCGAGGGTATCGAGGGTAAATGTGTTTATATTGGTGGAATTGGTAGAATTGATAGAATTAGTAGAATTGGTAGAATGGTGGAAGAAGAATAGTTACACAAATAGGTGGAAGGATTATTATCCGATCCCGGACGCGTTTGGTGTGACTACAATATTTGAATGTCAGTTTAACCCACCTATCGCTGGCTTGGGAGGAGTATGTAGGGGAGGACGTATCCGTTCGGGCTCTTTTTGAGGGTCTTTCAACGCGTTTATGAGCAGTAGTAGGTTCTTGCGGCCTCGATTGCCAGCAGTAGCGGATTCGTCGAGGGGTGGCCTGGGGGCGTCAGTAAGGGGTTCAAAAGACGGGCGGAAGGGATACGTGCCTGAAGCGTTTAGTAACATTTCCGCGAGGGGTACCGAGGACGATTATGTTCATATTAGTAAATTGGTAGAATGGTGAAAGAAGAATAGTTACACAAACAGGTGGAAGGATTATTATCCGATCCCGGACGCGTCTGGTGTGACTACCATGACTACCATATTTGAATATCTATTTAATCCACCAATAGTAGGCCAAACTTCATTATTTTTACAGCGTTAGAAAGCGCACACTGAGCTTTACAATTTACGAAATTATAAAGAAATAGTATCCGTAGGGAGCTGGTTATTTTAGAGTGTAAAGCTTCTACACATAAATTTTTGATAAGAAAACTCGGGAGGGCTAGCGGGTTAACTCAGTCAGTCTAGCCAAAAGGCGTAATAACCCCGAATTAATAATTGGCTGCACATACAAATTCAAGGTTTTCTAGTTCAGCCCTACCTTATTCTTTTATATATACTAATTTAATATTAATAATATTATAAAACGCTTCTTATTATAAAGTATCGCGAGATATATAAAAATACGCTTTTTATATTAAAAATTCAGGTTAATAAAATTAACTCTTTTATATATATCTAGATTATTAAGATAAAGAAGAAAATCGCTTTATAAATAATAGAATCTTTAATATACATTTAAAGTCTTTTTACTAAAATTCTATTAATAACGATATATTAGCTTTCTTCCTCTTCGATAACTCTCCTTTCTCTTTCTTTATTACCTTCTCTTCCCCTCTTTTATTCTATTTCGCTTCTATAATTATTAAGTATTAAAATTAAACTATAACTTTTTACTCTTAACTCTCTAGAATTTCTTTTTTAACTTTATCTACTTTCTCGAGAATAGAGATAAATAATTTATTCGCTAGCGATAAAATAATTAATCTATATAAGAGATATATATCGCTAATAAATAATAGATAAAATAAAAGATAATAAATATTACTTCTATATTAAAAAGATAATTAACGATAAAAGATTATATATAATAATCTATTATTTTACGTATAAGAAGTTTAGATATTTTTCTTATATCGAAAAATACTTAAATATAAAAACTAATATCTCTTATCTATTCTATTATTTAACGTATATTAAAATAAAGAAGATATAAATCTAAAAGAAGTTTAAAAAGTTAATATTTTAGAATAAGTAATAATATTATTACTAAGAGTTTAAGATATTAAAGAAGAAATTAAAGAATAAATAGAAGAAGAGATAAAAGATCTAGAATTTAAATAAAATTTAAGAGTAAGATAAAATTATATCTATATACGAGTTTTAAATATAAATATAATACTTTAATCTACTAAAGATAAATTATAAGTATAAATTATATTTAAAATAATAGCTTAATAACTAGCGAATTATTTCGCTTTCTATAAATAGAGTAAAATTAATAAAAATATAATAATATAATATAGCTAAGTATACTATTTCGTCTACTTTTTTAAGAATAAAATAAAATATTTAATTTAAATCTTTATATATATAATTAATAAGATTAATTCTTAATTAATTAAGATCTAATTAAGATATATTATTTTAGAAAGCTAACTATCGAGCTTTAAAAAATCTTTTTTTATAAGATTTTAATATATATAAAAGATTATAACGCTTAATAGTATTATATATTAAATTAAAATAACGCGAAGATTTAGTATATATAACTAGTAAATATAAAAAATAATATCTTAATCTATATAAAGAAGAATAGATTTTAGTATTAATAATATAAAGTTTTAATATATATAAAGAAATCTATAACGATAGATTCTAGCTTATATAAACGAATATATAACGCTAAATTCTAATATATATTATAAAAATATAGTACTAGAATAATCTTATTTTTTTAGTAAAGATAAATCTTAAATTTAATTTCGAAGATCTCTAAATTTATATTTTATCTACTATTAAGTATTTATATTAATAATTATACTATATAAAATATTTAAATAATAGAGATTAAGTTAGATTTTAGAAATTTTATAAAAAAATCTTAAATTATAATTAGATTTATAAATATAGAGGCGCTAGCTTTTCTAATAATTAAAATTAAAATATAAATCTTAATAAATTAAGATCTAATTTTATTATAATTAAAAGAGAAGAGATTATTATAATTAAAAAAGATAGAAGATTATAAGAATATAAATTTATAATAGAAAAAAGCTTAAAGAAAAATAGTAGCTATAGTTATACTATATATAGCTTTAACGCGAAAAATCTTATACTCTAACTAACTCGCTTAGATAAAACTAATTATTATTATTTTTATTATTATATTCTAACGCTTATTCTTTTCTTTTTAATAGACTTATTATAATAGATCTTTTATAATAAACTTATTATATATCTCTACTTATAAAACTAATATCAAAATTCGCTTAACTTTTATTATATTATATATTATTTAATATCGATAATATCGTAAAGCGCTTCTTATTATAAGATATTATTATATATATAAAAATATATTTCTTATATTAACGAATTTAGATTAACATGTTTTTTTTATAAATATTTAGATTATTAAAATAAAGAAGAAAATCGTCTAGCGAATAATAGAAGCTTCGATATATATTTAATTTAAAGTCTTCTTATTAAAATTCTATTAGTAATAATATATTAGCCTTCTCTCTCTTCGATAACTTCTCTCCCTCTTTCTTTATCGATTTCTCTCTTCTATTCTTATCTCGCTTTCTTAAAAGCGAAGCTTTCTTTATTTTAGCTATTAAATATTAAAATTAAACTATAACTCTTTATATTTAACTCTTTAAACTCTCTTTCTTTAACTTCGCTTACTCTTTTAAGAGTAAAAATAAATAGTTTATTCGCTAATAATAAGATAATTAATTTATATAAGAGATATATATCGCTAATAAATAATAGATAAAATAAAAAATAACGAATATTACTTCTACGTTAAGAAGATAATTAATAATAAAAGATTATATATAATAATTTACTATTTTACTTATAAGAAGTCTTAATATATTTTTTTTATATTAAAAGATACTTAAGTATAAGAGCTAATATCTTTTACTCGTTTTATTATTTAGTATATATTAGAATAAAGAAGTTATAATTTAAAAGAAATTAGAAAAATTAATATTTTTAAATTAGTAATAAGATTATCGCTAAGAGTCTTAGATATTAGAGAATAAATTAAAAAATAGATTAAAGAATAAATCGAAGAAGAGATAAGATATTTAAAATCTTAATGAAATCTAAGGGTAAAATAAAATTATAAATCTAGATTATTAAGATAAAAAAGGAAATCGCCCGACGAATAATAAGAGCTTCGATATATATTTAGAGTTTTCTTACTATAATCCTATTAGTAACGACGAGTAAAGGCCTATGAATTAAATTCATAATCATTTTTTTTTGATCGGGGCTGTCGAGTAAATTTTGATGAGCGATCTTTGGTAAGCGATATCTGAATTCCTTACCTTTAAATATCTATAAGACTAAATTTAGTAATTCTTTTTTTTATCTAAAAGCCCACATTATACTCTATAGTTTAAACCAAAAATTCTAAAATTTTAATAGAAAACAAAAAAGTTATTCTAAAATCAAATAATGTACACCTGTTTTTTGATTAGGGCTGTCGAGCGGATTTTGGTAAGCGGACTTTGGTGAGCGATATTTGAATTCCTTGCGCTTTAATAATTATAAGACCAAATTTCAAGATTCTTAAAAATTCGGAAAGCGCAGACTGCGCTCCAAAATTTAAAATTTAAAATCTTAAAAAGTTAATAGAAAACAAAAAAGTTTTTCTATATGTTAATAATGTACACCTATTTTTTTGATAGTTGCGGACGCTAATTTGTTTACCCGCGGTGTCTAACCAAAAAGCGTAGACCTAACGAATTGATGATTGGCTGCACATACAAATTCAAGGTTTTCTAGTTCAGCCCTACCTTATTCTGTTATATATACTGATAAATTAATCTTCTCTCTCTTCGATAACTTCTCTTTCTTTTTCTCCGCCGACTTCTCTTTCTTACTCTTATCCCGCTTTCTTAAAAGCGAAGCTTTCTTTATCTTAATTATTAAGTATTAAAATTAAATTATAGCTCTCTACGCTTAACTCTCTAAATACTTTTTCTTTAACTTTATTTACTTTCTCGAGAGTAAAAATAAATAATTTACTCGCTAGCGATAAAGCGATTAATTAATATAAGAGATATATATTATTAATAAATAATAGATAAGATAGAAGATAGCGAATACTACTACTACGTTAAAAAGATAATTAATAATAAGAGATTATATATAATAATTTACTATTTTACTTATAAAAAATCTAGATATTTTTCTTATATCGAAAAATACTTAAATATAGAAACTAATATCTCTTATTTATTTTATTATATAATATATATTAAAATAAAGAAGCTATAGACTTAGAAGAATAAATTATCTCCGCTTCGCTCTCCGCTCTACTCTTTATAAGTTTAATTACTTATTTATTTATATATATCGCTATAGCGATACTCTATTTACTTATTTACTTATATATATCGCTATAGTAACTCTTATAAATCTAGCTATTTAAAAAATAAAGAAAGATTATAACATTTAAACGAAGTAATAAATTAACTAGTAAGAATACGATATTTTCTCTAATACGTTATATCGTTAATTCGACGAGTACTATAGCGATTATTATAAGAATTATATATTATAAAAGAATTTCTATATAATATTACGCGTTTATTAAAATATATAATATTTTTAAATATTAATATCGCTACTATAACTAAGTTAATTAAGTTTTTTAATAAAATAAAGTAGAAGTTTACTTCTTAATTATTATACTATAGCTTCTAATTTAATAAAAATCTATTTAACTATTTATTTAACTTTTTTCAAGAATTTTAAAAAAGATTATATTATATAGTTACGTATTTTTATTAAAGAATTATATATATATAGAATATAAATATTATATATTAGACGATATATTAAAAAATTAAGTCTTAATAGAATTTTCTATTTAGATTTATCTT